AAGGTGAGTGGAAATAGCCCAAGTAAATGTAGCAGAGGGTCTGGCACAGCGGGCTCCTGCCAGCTCGCCAGGGCCGAGCCCGCCCTTTATTCTCACTTCACGTTCAGTGGCCTCACGGGAGGAGCGTGAAGTCAGCGACGCTGGGCATATTCACACCAGCAGATTGGGCAGAGCTCCAACTCAGCGCTTCTCCTCAGAGCCCCGTTGTGAAACACTTGCCAGCAGTCAGCCCCAAGGTGGAGGGGCTCTTGGCCTGATTTGAGAGTCAGAGGCTCAGGGAGGCGCTCAGGGAGGCGCGAGCTCTCCACACGTGGAAAACGGGCACAGGCGTCTTTCAGAGTCTCAGGTCTCATGGCAAGGCTGAGCCCGTAGCTCCTCTGGGCATGACTACCCACGGCCCCGTGCAGAAGAGGGTGCTGTTCCATGGTATTGGGGTCGCGTTGGCTGAGGGGGGTTCTGGACCCCAGTTCTCACGAGCTTTTGTCAAAACCGTCAGAAGTGACTTCCTAACACTGCTTGTGTTCCCTGAGGGTTTGTTGATCAAGGATGGGTGTATTCTCCTTCTGAATCGAAAACTTTAAGGACAGAGAGAACTGAGCAGGGGTCCTAAGCCCCTGCACCTCCAGCTTCCTGCTGGGGTGCAGCCTTGACTGGGTTTCTGTCACCACAGGGCAGTGAGGAGAAACTTAGACTGAGCAAGTGAGGAGAACCGCCCTCGCTACCCCAAGACAGTCTCTGAATCTGAACTCCAGGCTCCAGTCCAGTGGCTGGCACTCTGGTCTAGAAGGAGAAGGGAAGTGACATTTATGAGAATGAGGCGTTGGGTTCTCACAGCAACACCTGCACCAGGTGACGTTTGCAGGTGAAGAAATGGAGGCTCATGAGGGTTAAGTAACTTGCCTGAGGGCCTCCCACCCTGGCTCCTGCTAGTAGAGGCCGGGTTGAAGCCAGATGGCTCAAGTGCAGAGCCCACGGCGCCTCTTTTCTCCTGCTCCACGTTGTTCCCCTGGGTCAACAGCGCCAGGTGCCAGCCCGGTGCCCACCCTCAGGCTGCTGTTTTCAAAGCATAAAACAACTACAGTGGGGGGCGGAGGTGGCAGTGGGTAGGGACTCGGATACAGATCTCTCTCCATCACATGTCGGCCTGAGACTCGAATGAGAGTCCTGTCAGAGAACCCCCGCTGCGTGGCTGCAGCCCCCAGACTCACCTTGCCCGTCCTCCTTGCTTACGGCACCGTCTACACCATGGCCCAGGCCGGGGCCCCGGGGGCCGAGCATACCCCTGCTCCCCCGCCCCCCCACGGCGGGAGCCGCAGGTAGTGGAGGCCCTTGGGTGGACCCGTCTTGCCCGCTGAAGCGGTTTTTTCTTGTTTCCCTTGGCAATTGCAGGCGTGTTTTGTGCTTTGCATCTCATTACACTTTCTTCCACCATTGTGGAGCTTGCTGGCCTGTCTGAAAACGTCTGGTTGGGAGGATGCGAATACCCGCCCGCCGCTTTTGTGACTGCTTTGCAGAGGGTCTGTTGAAACGAAGCCCAGCAGCGTTTATGGGGGCTCTGGCGGCGTTGAGGGGACCTGAGAGCCAGAGAGAAGGGGCGGCCTTCTGGCTCCAGACTGTGGTGCCGGCGTGACCCGGGTGAGTCAGCAGCCCTCTCTAAACGCATACATGGACATAAAAATGAGAACGCGGCCATTCTTGCTACAGTGCGTGTGAAGACTCAGAGCGGATAAATAATTAACACCCCACATCCATCCCTGGGAAAGACCCGCTGGTGAACACAGCTCTGCCGTAGGCACACGCCTCTGCCCTCTGGCTGCCCAGCTTGTGTCCACCCAGCCCCGGTGCCTCTGATGGCCAGGCACTGCTTTGCCAGCTCACACAGGTGCTCCAGTCCGGGTTCATAGCTCCACTTTGGGGTTTAAATGCAAGTGGCTGTGAGTGTTATTTCCATCAACTCTGGGAATTGCTGGACTCCAAACTCTCCCTCCAGGGGGACTTATAGCATCATAACTTGGATTCCAGTTCAGCTGATGTCGGTTAGCACCTGCTATGAGCTCTGCGTTGTACTCTGTGCTTCCACACACGTCTCATTGACGCTAGGGATAATGACTGTTACCTTACGGCGCCGTCAGAAGCCAGGTAGCATTTATGAGTGAATGTCCAAAGTGGTCAGGGCAAAACCTCATTCCTTCTTTTAGGGGTGACAATCAGTGTCATTGAGTGTGGGCTTGGTACCAAGCAATCAGAATGAAGCATAAGGGGACAGCTTGGTGGCGGCGGGGGTGGGGGGTGTTTAGAACAGCAGCCATTTACCAACTAGAACAGAACTGTTTAATGATTGATCAAGCTGACCTGGGGCTGCAACTGTGAACCCCCTCCCCAGTGTTTCAGACCCGAGAGATGGCAACATTTCCCTTTATCTTCTGCTGTTTATGAGGGCGTCTGCACACGCTGCCTTTCAGACCGGAGCCGCGGTGAATGCTCATCAAGCCCTCTGGGATTTGAAGACAGAGCTGGGAAGTGTCCGTGAGGGCTGTGCAGATGGGGGTTCGGGCCGCAGACTGGGGGGGGGGCAGCTGCGCCTGTGGGGGAGGTCACCTTCAGCACTTATTCCTTGTGTGGTCAGGTTATTCAGTGGGCCGTGCCTCAGTGTCCCCACTTATGAAGCAGGTAGTAGGCTTTTCCCTGTGGTTTCCTGGAAGACTGTTAGTCACTGAACACTGTTCTTGGTTGCCATGCTCTATTTATTTATTTTTTTTAAAGGTTTATTTTTTTGTGCACACAGAGCTGGGGTACAGGCCCGAGGTGCAGGGGCGGTGAGAGGCTTCACTAGAGACAGTGGGGAGCAGGACAGGCTGACTGATGAAGTCCACTGCTGAGGGCTGGTCAGGAGGGGTCTGCTGTGCCCTCCTGGCCAGGGGATCCCCCTGGGCGGGGATCAAACTCAGCTGCAGTGGCTTCCGCCTCTCAGTGCTGCGCTTTAACCCGCGGCACCACCAGGGAGGCCCAGCACTCCTTTCAAACACCTCAGCGTGCTCTCCTCACTCACCTTTTCCTCCTTGATGCTCACGGCTGGTCCTCTGATGTCCGGTCAGCCCTCTGACGGCCCCCGTCAGCTGAAGCCGGTGCCCATCTTCCCAAGTAGATTTTGAGCTGGGGGCATCGTCCCTGGCTGGGCGGTGAGTGCAGGCCGCCTCAGGGCAGCAGGGGCTGCGTTGCTGGGCCCGCCCCAGCCCGGGTCTGCAGGCCCTCAGGCCCCTTCCAGCCGTTCACAGGGAACAGGGAGCAGCGCCCAGCGCACGCTCAGTCTCGTCACAGAGGCTCTCCTGGTGCCGAGCCTCGCCTGGTTTGGGAGAACCATGTTGGCTGATGGTGGGCCTCTCGGCTGGAGGGAAGCGCGACCCCAGCTGTCCGGCGCCTGGGGTCAGCTCCCAAATCCACTGCTCCCTGCCCTGAGCAGGGCCAGACGCGACACCCCCCAGCGCGAGCCCCAGGCGAGGGCGCGCCAGGGGCCAGCGGGTCTGGGTCCCGCAGGGAAGGAGCCCGGCCCGGCCCGTTGCAGTAATCACATCGGCGGCAATAATGCCGGGGTCCAGACAAGGTGACCCCACGCAGCCGGCCTGGCTGGGCTGCAGGCAGGGGGTCGTGGCCTTGGGACGCAGCGGTGGCCACTCCCCCCCACCCCCCACCCCACTGCCCTCTTGCCACTCCCACTTCTTTGGCGATTTAATTGGGATCTGGTGCTTCAGCCTCTTGACGGGCCCCTTCCGGAAAAGAGTCATCAGCGGCGAAAGCTCTCGCGGGCCTCGCTGCCGGGTCTGGGCGGGACGCCTGCGTCTCCTGGCCTCTCCGGAGCCTGAGCGCCACGCAGGACCCGCTCGCGCTTGGGTGGGCAGCAAAGTGGTTCAGACACGTGCCTGTCCCTCGCCGGGGCATTATCCATGCCCCGAGGCGGTGCAGCTTGGGAGATTACTGGAAGGGGGATGTCGCTGCATCGCAGACCGGCAGTCGGGCTCTGCCACCCCGCGCCGGCGGCGTCAGGGGAGCTAACGTGCTGCCTGGGGGCGCGGCTGGGCACGTCTGCCGAGCACCACGCCGCAGCAGCCGGGCGCTCGCTCCTCCTGCCAGATAATGAAATACTGGGGCGAGGTAGCAGGCTCTCAGCTGCAAATGCCAAGCGGGGTTGGCTGTGCCAAGATTCGGAGCAGCAGACGATTCCCTGGCAGCCCAAGAGGCTTAACCACCCGCTACCCTCGCGGATTCAAAGGGAATCTGGAGGGGAGTGAGCCTTGCTGGGCAGCTGGCGCGGGCCTGGCCTGAATGCGCTCACCTCGGTTAAACGACGCGACGGGAAGTCCGGAGCCTCTGCCTGCCCCCCCAAACCCCAGAGGAAACCCCAGGGCTCCCCGGGGGCAGCTCCCACGCGACCCCCTCCCGACTCCCAGGCCTGCCCGAGCGAGGGCTGTGCCAGGCGGGCTCGTGGGCTGACCCCGCTCTGGCGGGCCTGCTGCGTGGGGAGCTGTGGCTTTCTAACGTGGCGAGTTCCTGGAGCCTGCCCCCCAACGCCCCCGCTTCACAGCCACACCTCAGACTGCCCCGGCTGGGGCGGGGGTGTCCAGATTCACAGCTGGTGGGCCTTCTCCCTGCATATTTCAGCCGTAACTGCACGCCCAGAGGCGCCCCAAACTCGGGGGAAGGCAGAACAAACCGAACAGCAGGGACGCGAGCCCTGGGGAGTTGGGGGGGTCCACTGGTCTGCTTTCTCCCCAGCGTCTCATTTCTCCCGATCACAATCTGATTCTTTGCTGTGGGCCCACTCAGCTGCTTCTTGTTGTTCAGACAGTTTTAAAAACACAATCACCATTCAGTTAGACTCTTGGTAGGACATTTGGAACACCCATGTGTGAGGGTGAATTGTACTGGTGAGCGCCGGCGGGGGTGGCCCCGGAGCTGAGGACAGCTCAGGCGGGACTTGCAAGCCGGCCTTCTGGCGGCCTCACCACCCGCCGCCACGCGGCCAGCGCCCGTCCCCGGCTGGCGCATCTGCTTCTGTCCGTGTGCCGGGGCCGTCACACCACCGTCGCTGATTGGGGTGGGGCGGCCCTGGCACTTCTGCTGTGTCCTACGCAGGGAACTTGCCTGCGGGGCAGAGGTCCAGTCCCAAGTAGCCAACCACTGCCCTCCCGCCTTTGTGGCGCCAGTGGGGGATCAGGACGTCCCGGGGTGATGCCACTCGCACCCCGCCCCACCCCGCCTTGCCATGGCTCTACAGCTCCAAGGTTTGCCTTCAGTGGGGAGACATCTGGCATCTGGCGAAAGTCTAGCATCTCGGGCCGCCGGCCTTGTGGCCAGCAGCTGGCTTTGTGACTCCCCGGAACCTTCTTTCCTCTCAGTCCTGGATTTCGCACCCTCTGGTACGTGGCCTTTCTGGCATACATGGTGGATCAGGACCCCTCCTTCCTAGGACAAGGCTCCGGCTGCACTGGGGCTTCCCGGGAAGCCTTGGTGGGCGTCCCGTCAGCCTTGGCCTTCTCAACCTCGCCCCTCTTCAGCCTTCTGGGCTTCAGGCTTCCTCTCCTCAGCAGCCGACTTCTCAGCTGTTCACCCACCATCCTGCAGGATGGGAGAGAGATTAAGGCCCCGCTTTCCGGTCTGTGAGTTCAGTCCAAACTTCGCTGCAGCTGCCCAGGGCAGGACACAGGGTCTTGTCTCATCTTTGGCTTTTTAAAAAGGCATTCATCAATACGGCAGGCCCGCAGAGAACATCGTTTTGTTCAATGTTGTTGAGGGTAAAAAATGAAACCCAGTCAACTCTGCACAAAGAGACGTTAATCAAGGTCTGCTTCTGTTATATGTTGTCTCATTTAAAGTCAGTTTCCAAGAACCAGTCGATGGCATTTAACGGGGACTTACTGTACCAATGGCCCTGGATACCAGTGTTCCCGTCATGGGCAGGTCGCTCCGCTGGCTTGCGCTTGGCTGATGATGTCAGGGCTTGGAGGGCAGCAGTGCCCTTGGGTGGCTGTGAACAGTGCATCAAGCCCTGCACAGCCCCCCCAAGGCTGCCTCCCTCTCTGGCTTCTGCATGACCCAGGGTGACAAGTCTCTAATCCTATAGGTCGTTTTTTCTCCCCAACTCAAAAGCTTTAAGGGGCTGTATTGCTGAGAGGGTAGGTCCTAACTTCAACCACAGATCATTTTTAAAGTTGGGTCTTCAGACCAGCAGCATCTATATAGTATGGGAACTTGTTAGAAATGCAGAATTTTAGGGTCCTGCTCTGACCAGCTGAGTCAGAAACGCTGGGGGTTGGGCTCCAGCCATCTGCATTAGAAAGCCGTTCAGCTGCTTCTGATTTTTGTTAGGAACCTCTGACCTGTGTCTGTGAATGCCACTCCAACCAAATGGGTCCCCTCTCAGCTCCTGGTCTTGGACCGTTTACTCATCGTCTGCATTCTGCTCCCACAGTGCCCACCGGTGCCCCGCAGCTGGTCATCCCCCCCCAGCTCCACCCCTCCTGTCTTCGTTACCAATACATCGGCACTGTGACACCATCAGTGGGCCTAGCTGACTGCCTTTCCTTGGCAACAAGGTGTGGCGACAACATTAAATTCTAGCCAATGATTTTAAATGGAAATTATTGGATATGACTTCCAAAGGAAGCAGACAGCTGGGGTGAGCTTGTTTTTGTGTTTGCACATTTTGTTCTTACTTTTGATGGCCGCCTGGAATATGGATGCAATGGCTGGAGCTCTAGCAGCCTTGTAAGAGCTTTGCGGTAAACTTGACAGGAAGGCTGCGAACAGTCAATCAGGAAGATAAAAAAAATCCAGGGTCTCTCTATGGAATACCTGGAGCCTCATCTCCAAACTTTAAAGGAGGGAAACATCCCTGCATGTACTGGTCCTGGGAGTTAGGACTGTTAACAACACCTAAAAGCAAATTCTAAGTTCAAGTGCCTTCCTCATTTCTCTTGGATGATACACATCCACCTGATTCTTTGTGGGCTCTTTGTTTCCATGCCGTAGATATCTGTACTCTTTGCTAGACCCTGGGCGGTGGCCATAAGGGAGATGCAGGCTCCAGTGGGCCTGTCCACACAGGCTCTCAGCTGTGAGTGAAATGCATGCTTGAATGGGGCACGCTGAAGTGGGGGGCCCAGCAAAGGCTGTGCTGCCCAGTGGCAGGGCTGGATGAGGTGGGCAGCCGTAGCTAATGGGTCTCCCTCAGCTGGCAGTGGACAGTTCTAGAGAGTGGGCTAGGTGTCCCAGACACCCCATAGCCTCGGAGCCGAGAGAGCCTGAGCGGTACTGTGCAGCGCTTTCTATACTTTCAGATCCCGACCTCGGAATGCAATCTCATCAGAAGCCTAATTCAGCCAGGCAGCCAGAAGCATTTTGCTTTTGTGTAATTTACCATTATCAATGACCATTTGCGGAAATAACTACACTTTGCTGCTCAAAATAGCCAGCCCTGTCTTCGCTCCTGTCTCCAGAATCAACAAGGGTCAGCCCTGTGCCCTTTGCCAGCCTGCTCCTGGCAGCGCCTTCTCTGAGGGGAATTTTCCTGTCCCCGTGATGAGAACAAAATGTGTGTTCTCTCCTGCGTCCGAGAGCTAGCCTCACATTTTCTGAGACATGAGTCTGCCCTCTGATTATGGCCACTCCCAGATCACGTCTCTGTTTCAGGACAGCTGGATCCGGGACCTGCCCCACGACGGCCTCAACTGGTGATTTTAATCCTTGGGAAAGTGATTTGAATGAGCACAGGCCCAGTTAGAGGGGTGATGTTGCCGCCAGACAGGGTCCTGGGGAGGACCCCAACTTCATGCCGTTGTTCTCATCTTGAATTCCCTCCCTACTCCGCCACCCACCAGTTCCTTCTGAATTAGAACCTTGGTATGGATTCTCCAGGATGTTGGTTGGAGGTTAAGAAGTATAAGAAGTGCGTTTCAAATCGTTCCTCTATGTGACTGGCCCATAGCAAGTTCTTAATAGAAGTTAGCAAGTCCCCTGAGATCATAAATTCATGTCCATTTTATTGCCTTTGATCTCTTCAGCACCAGCGCAGGGATGGGTACTGATGATCGATTGGTTGATTGAATAAATTCACTGTCCCGGGTCCCGTGGGTGTGACCAACCACGCTCCTTTCCTCCCTACACTGTAACCTGCACAGAGGCGGCCACAGTCACTGCCCCCGTGCTGGAGGGCGTCTGAGCCTCAGGGAATTGTCAGTCCCGGCATGTTCCAGGCTGTCTGGCGCTTGGGAGCGCTCTGTGGCAGGCCTGCGAGTGGGGCTGGCTTGTTGGCGCAGCTGTGACCAGACCTGATTGGGCAGCGAGTGTCCCGAAAGCTAAGGCCTGATTTGAGCCTGTGCTCAGCGCAGATGTTCTCTAACTTGCACTGTTAAGAAACATTTATGGTTTCAGTTTCAAAAATGAAGGGTAAAAACATCAGCCTTCAATGTGGTATCTTCCCAGCGAGATGTAGAGCGCGCTGGTCATGAGTGCTGCTCCGTGGGCTTCTTGCTGGTGTCCAAGATGGGGGCGCGTGGTGTTTGATGTGAAAGCCTCTGGACACAGGGTCAGGAGATCGTCGGAGAAGGACTGTCCTCACGTTTACACGTCCTCTGGCCAGTCCTGTTGGGAGGCCGAGTTGTCCCTCCTCTGTGTCCTGGTCCACTGCCTTGCAACCACGGGTGTTAACTCACATGGCCAAAGGGAATTAGTAGCTGGGATCAGGCGACAGATGTGGAGTTGGGGTGCGTTCCCAGGCTTCCCTGGCAGACCTGTGGAATCACCGCGTGGGCAGCTGGTTAGAGGAGCAGGGTAGGCGGTGTGAGGACGGATCGGACGGGTGAGTGGCATGACCCAGGGGATCCGGCTGAGACTCGGTGCTGAAAGGGGCTGAGGAAACATGCTCTCCTCAGCCTCTGCAAGAAACAGCTCCGCCCATGCCTTGACGGTAGCCCGGTGAGACTCCATCTCTGACCCCCAGAACTAACTCGGTGTCATTGGAGTCACTGGGCCACGGACATTTGTTACAGCAGGAAACAACGAGCAGACCGGCCCTGCATGGGCCGCTGGGCTCACTTGAGTGTGTGTCTGGTCGCCTGCGACACGGCTGCTCCCACGAGGGAGGTTCATGTGGCGTTGAAGTGATTCGGTGTAGAATACACTAAGGATTCATGGGCGGCATGAGGGATTGGAGAGGGGCTTCACTCCTCACCCCGGGTGCAGAGCCTACCTGCATTTCTGCCACTCAAGGGACAGCCAAGGTGGCCTCTATGTCCAAAGTAAGGGTTGGGGAGCAGCAAGGTGCTCCCCAGAAAAGGAACTTCCAAGTTGGACCTTTGAAACTGCTCACACTAAGGCCTCTCGAGATTCCATTTTTAGTCTCCACAAAATTCAGCCCAGTGGCAAAGAGCGTGGACCTGTTGCTTAGAGATTCCAGAGTTCAGGCCTTATAGCCACAGCCCTCTAGCTTTGTGGCCCGGGATTAGTTAAAAGCCATCTTAAGGGTATAGTCTCACCTATAAAATAAACAAGCTCTAATAAGATTATTGTGTAGATTAAAGTAAAATGAAACAAAACACTGTAGATAGGTGAGCGCATGGCCTGGCCCCCCAAGTCACTCTGGAAACGGCTGTTGGCACTTCTGGCCAAGGAGGGCCCATGGATGCTGGCCAGTGGGGGTCCTGAGCCCTGTGTGGAACTGGGTCGGGCGCTCCCTGAGCTTCCCTCTCCCCCACATGCCATCACGCGCACGCCCTGACCCAGGAGCTCCACACGCTGCTCCGTTTCACCCTCATTGCGAATATGGGGCACGGCGTGGTGACTGTTGTCCTGGCAGTCGAGGTGAGCAAACCTAGCCCCTCGGCTTTCCTCAGATCACAAGCTTGGAAGCGGGGTCCTGCTCTCACACTGATCGATGAACAAAACATGTGTTTTATGCACACACGGGCCAGTTCCCCGGGGGCTCCTGAGCCGACCCCTCCACTGCAGGACCCTGCCCTGGGCTCCCAGGCGCGAGGGCGCAGGGCGCGGCTGGGTGGGTGGCAGACGCCGCCAGTTCTCTCAGAAGCTGTTTCTCTGGTCGAGTTCCTCCAGGTAAGCAACAACAGGAGAGAAAAAAATTGATGGTCTCTTTTCAATTTTTAACCTAGATATAAAAGAGTCCACGATATATTAGCTGATTGAAACCGAAGGCGTTTTAAAGAATAATGGACGAGGCATTCCTTGTGGATAAGCAAGGAAATATAAAGCAACTGAAATAGAAAAATCACCAGAACTTGTGAGCATATTTAATTTCTGGAAGGGGGAAGCGAATGCATTTGAGGAGATGTTTAAAATCATTAATCATGAGAAACAGGCTGCAAAATGAGGTGCCTCGTGGTGTCTCGTAGACTGGTAGAAGTAGAAAGCTGGGTACTGCCAAGTGTTGGCAGGGACTCGGAGCGGAGACGTGCGGTCACTGCTGCCTCCGGGCAGCTGATGGAGGACGCTCTGGAGCACCGCTGCTGCTCGGCCCTTATTGATGCGGGAGAGCAGCGGGCACGGGGTGACGCAGCGCCCTCCCCCCTCCACGCCGCTTCCCACAGAAATCCTCGCACACCTTCCCGAGGGGCACAGTGAGCCTCTTCACTGCAGCACTGGTTGCTGTGCCAGGGCCTGGAGAAACCGGGGTGCCCCTGTCACCCAGAGATCAGACCGGCAAGCTCGGAGGGGGCCCACAGCAGAGCAGGGAGCAGCAATCTAGTGACAACAGATCAGCGTAGCCATAGCAACGTGGATGAACTTTAAAAAGATTGTCATTTGTGCGAAAGGCAAGGCACAGAGAGAAATGTAACAGTAGTGTCTGTGAAAGTTCACACACACAAGCGAGACAAGGCCATTTTGCGGGACACATACCCAGAGGCTTGTGCCCGCGAAACACACGTTCCTGCGTGGCGAGGGGGCCTGGGGGGTGCACAGCCAGAGGGCCCGCAGGAAGCAGGGCGCACCCAGACGGGCGAGCCCAGACGCTTGTTTATCAAGGGC